GTCCGAGACGGATCACTGTGAATCCCAGCCGGCTGCTAGCCCCGTTCTCTGTCCTTCCTAATTCACGTGAGAGGCTGGGGGGGGGGGAGACGGGGCGGGGGAGGGAGAGACAGCCGCCGGTCGCTCCTTGAAAAGGGTCGGGAATTGACGCCGGGAAGTGCAGCTGTCTGCTCCCGGTTCTAACCCCTTTTCGGATACTTGTCACGATTACCCCTGGCAGCCCGAGGCAGCCCCTGGCAGCGCGGAATACGGTCCCTCCCTAACTCTTTTCCTCCGTCACGCCGCGCCACGCCGCGCCACGCCGCGCCACGCCGCAACGCCCTGCTACGCCCTGCCGCGCCGCCACCGCTCTCACGGCGTCCTTTTTGCAAATAACAAACGCGCGCGTCTCTGTCGAACGCGGAGAGCGCCCGACCCGGCCGGCCGCTATCTCCCTCGCACACGCCGCCGCACCGGAGCCGCCGTGATGCTGCAGCCCCGCACCGCAGCGCCGCAGCACCGCAGTCGCAAAGTGATTTGTCGTTCCCCGTAATGACGAAATACTGGCCGCGCGAGGCGGAGGAGGAGCAGGGAGGAGGACGAGGACGAGGAGAAGAAGAAGAAGAAGGATGAGGAGGAAAAAGGATTGGATCGCGCCGCGCTCACCATCAAACTGGCCCCATGCCTGATTGAGTCAATATGACATGCTTCTCACCCCGTCGTCGCCCCCATCGCCTCCGTCGTCCACCCCGATATCCCGGCCTTGTGACCCCGTCTCTCCAATCCACTGTCAACGCCACCGAGACTCCCTCTCTCTCTCTCTCTCTCTCTCTCTCTCTCTCTCTCTCTCTCTCTCTCTCTCTCTCTCTCACACACACACACACACACACACACACCGGCGCGGCAGGGAGTGACCACCGGAAAAACAAGCAAACTGTGAGATACAAATTAATCGGCGTTCATTTGGGCGAGCGGACACCAACGAGACTAAAGCAAAAAGGCCGACGCGCCGCCCGTCTGGCCCCCGACTCCGCGGCTGGCTGCTGGCTGTGTATGCCTGGCGCTGCCACATCTAATAACGGGCTAATTTGGCGGCATTCCGACGCGCACAAAGCTTTTCACGCTCGGAATGCTATTGTGTGCGTCAGTGTGTGTGTGTGTGCGTGAGAGAGAGAGAGAGAGGGACAGAGAGAGAGAGAGAGAGGAGAGAGAGAGAGAGAGAGAGAGAGAGAGAGAGAGAGGGAGAGAGAGAGACGGGGGTGGGAGGGAGGGAGAAAGAGCGGGGGTGTAGGCTGTGAGTGTGTGGGGGCGCGCGCCCGGCGTCGTGCGTGCGAGTGTATGCGGTCTTGCACACCAAGTTCGAGTCCAAGACTTGCTTTGCGGTATCGGGGGACTGCATCTTTTTCATTTCCGGTTTCACAAGGAGCCCCCCTCCCCCTTCCTCTGCCCCTGCCCCTTCCTCCCCCGCTCGCACGGACGACGCGGGGCCAGTGGCCTTCCTGGCCGCTCATTGGCCAGCGCCTCATCGAATCCGGGCCAATAGCGAGGTGCGGTCAGCCAGCCGCCGGGGGGGCCCATCCCCACCCGGGGGGCTGCATTTTGAACCGGATTGCGTGTGTGTACGTGCACACGTGTGTGGGTGTGTGTGCGTGTGTTGGTGTGGTACCCAAGAGACCTTTATCCTGCCTGTATAGATTCACAGATTCCTGCGTTGCACCGGGTGGGTTGGGTTGAGGGTTGGGGTGGGTGCACAGGTCGGCCGTGGTGGCGTCGCCCTGTCCCAGGTCCCTAGTCCCTGGTCCTGCCGGCCTGCACACGGATTGCAGGGATTGCAGTCACCGCGCTACATTATTTTGAGGCCGTGCCGTGGCCGCCGTGCCGCGCCCCGTGCAGAGGAGGGACTGCTTTGTGGGCTGCGCTGCAAAACAATGGCGCGGGGGGGCCGCCGCTGGAGCAGACTCTGGTGCGACAAGCGACTGCAATACCGCGCTGGTGTCAGAGTATGTCGACCCGCCCCGCCCGCGCCGCCCGCCGCCAGCCCGCCAGCCCTGCCGCTGCTTCGCTATCCCATATACGTGTCCCGGATTCAGCCGCACTGCCGCCCTGCCGCACTCCTTCTTCGCGGCGGATGTGGCGCCTCGTCTGCCCTGCCCTGCCACGCCCTGTCACGCCCTGCCACGCCCTGCCACGCCCTGCCACGCCCTGCCACGCCCTGCCACGCCCTACCACGCCCTGCCACGCCCTGCCACGCCCTGCCACGCCCTGCCACGCCCTGCCACGCCCTGCCACGCATGTGCCTGGTGGCAGTTTCTGTCCCGCTGTCCCCCAGGCCGCTAGCCGCTGCCGGGCCACAGCGCGCGGAGCATGGAGCGTCGAGGTCGGGAGTTCGGACGGACATGGCGTGGGGATAAATTGAGGACCTCTCCACGCACACACTCACACGTACAGATTTATCACACACACACACACACACACACACACACGGCCAAACAGCCACTCCACTCGACGTCCCCGTTTGGCTGTGACACTCTGCCGGTCTGACTCTGTCTGCGACTCGTGATTGGCAGCGCCACTGCGATGACGGGGAACTGCTTCATTATGCCCGTTGGCCCGTTGGACAAGGCGCGGGGCCGGGCGGGGCCGGGCGGGGCCGCGGTGGCCGTCAGGCTCGGCGTCAGGCTCGGCGTCAGGCCGTCCCTGCGGTTACTTCCATTCACGGCGTGACAGCTGTCGCGTCCCCCTCCCCCACCCCTTCCCCCCCACCCCCTTCCCTCCCTCCTCATCGGGTGCGAAGAGGCGACATGTTCACCGCAACCATTATGCCGCGTCACCCTGCCCCCCCAACTTGCCGCGCCGCCCCCAACCGGCCCAACCCCGCACATCATCATTGCCGCATCGACCGCCGGCCCGGAGGAAAAGCGACTGGACGGGATTCCGGTCGGCAGACGTGTCGGCAGCGGTAGTGAGTCGCTGCGCTGCTTGTCCGCGTGCATGCGTGATGGCATTGGCGACACCAGCGGAGGGCACTCCAAGTCGAGAGGAGCGGACGAGACTGTCAGACGTCGCTAGCAGACGACGCCGGCAGTCGACGCTAGCAGACGACGCCGGCAGTCGACGCTAGCAGACGACGCTAGCATACGACGCTAGCAGTCGACGCTAGCAGACGACGTTAGCAGACGACGCCAGCAGACGACGCTAGCAGACGACGCCAGCAGACGACGGCGCAGGAAGGCCGTAGTCCCGGCTGTCCGAGGCAATGTGGCACTCCGCTTCTTGCTTCTTGTCACGATTCCGGGACAAAAGGCGAGCCTCCTCGGCGCCCCATAGAGCTGCCCGGGCGCTGCTACCCGGCCGGGGGGTGCGAGGGGTCCCCGTCGGGGCGCCACCCGGCATCGTCGCCTTAAAATGAAGTTGGAAGCCTTTGGGGCTTTGGCGTGCTTTGGCGCCGCGCTGCGCCAGCGCCATTGTCTCGATATCTGCGTCACTCGCCGCGCGGCCCCGCGCCGTCCCGGGTCATTACTGCGCCGGGGGCGCAAGCGGGCGCAAGCCAGGGGCGTGGATAGGCAACCTTCGGATGCCAGCTCGGGCCGGCCGCCTGCAGCCCGCCTGCCTGCCCGCCTGCCTGCCTGCCCGCCTCCCCCGTTCCAGGTCAGGTCGCCGTGTGAATCAGTAAAACTGTGGTGTGGATGGCGGTAGCGGCAGCAACATGGTGGCTGCTAATGAATTCCCTCTAGAGCGCGCTGCGCGCTCCGGCCTGATCCTCCTCCACTGTGCTGAACCGCTCTCAGTGCGGCAAGCCGGGAGGGAGAGAGAGGGAGAGAGAGAGATAGAGAGAGAGAGAGAGAGAGAGAGAGAGAGACCTACCGGCTCGGAATCAGTCTGCTATGGCAGCAGCTCGGCGACGAGGAACATCGCTCCGTCCGCCACCTCGGGGAGGTTGGCGAGGCTGTACCTAGCGCCTACCTAATGCAGGCGTTGATCGAATCCGAGAGGGTTTTGCCGTCCTCGCCGTCCTCGCCCGCGTCTCTATCCCACCCCTATGGAGTACCCGTCGGCTGTGGCGGCATGGCAGCGAGGCGCCGCGCTTCGGCACTTCGGCACCCGGATGGACGCGAGAAAACGAAAAATGGAGCTCGCCTTCCCTCCCTGCCTTTGAGGACGCCTGCACTGCACGCGTCGAGACGAGCTCGGCGTCGAGGGCGCCACTGAGCCAAGCCAAGGCAGCACTCAAACATTTGCTCTCCGCACATTTCATCTCTGAGCCGAGGAGCAGCGGGAGACGGCACTGGCGGGAGCGGCGTCAGTGAGAGAGAGAGAGGAGAGAGAGAGAGAGAGAGAGAGAAGAGAGAGAGAGAGAGAGAGAGAGAGGCCGGAGCAAGCGGGAGCTGCATGCATTTGAATTGGATTCGGATTCGATTCGGTTCCTCTTTTTGCCTCAGAGCGGCCAACTTTTTCCTCTAGCAGACATGCGATTCCCCACGATGCGATGTGCAGGCCGACGCCCGGCCTGGCCCACGCCCCCTGCAGCACGCCAACAAGGGCGGGTGGCAGGCCGCTCGGCCGCGGCGGCGCGCGCTCTTTGTTGCTGCACTGGCTGTGTAGTACTCTCGTGTAAAGGGCCCCCCCCCCCGCCCCGCCCCCCCCCCCGCCCCGCCCCGCCACGCCCCCCCCCCGCCCCCCCCCCCCCCGCCACGCCATGCCACCCCCGCCGCGTGGCTGTCGGCACGCGAAAGCTCCTCGAAACTACTCGGCCAAGTCTGGGCTGGACGTTCGCGCTTGGCGCGCTTGGACTGTACGGGACGTGGCGGCCCGTCTGGCTAAAGAGCCTCGCGTGGCGCGGCGCGGGGCTACTTGGTGCGCTCCGTCGCTTTCGCAGCCCCACCGCGAGTGTGGTGGTGGTGCTGTTGTTTTTGTTGTTGTTGTTGTGGAAATATCCAACAGGAACCGCAAAATGCGCGCGTTGCCTCTCGCCACCGCTTCGAATCGGAATCTAATAACCGGCTTTGTTGTTGTTGTTGCAGACAACATGGAGACGCTGTGCAAGGACTACTTCCGGCAGCAGCAGCTCCGCAAGATCGACGGCGCGGAGCTGCGCTCGCAGAACGAGCGCAACCTCAACTGCATCGTCACCTTCCAGACGCACTCCATCCTGCAGTCCTTCATGCTGCGCTTCGACGAGCTGCACCTGGACTGCAACGACCACCTGTACATCTACGACGGCGCGCACGCAGTGGGCACTGCCAAGGTGGGGACCGCCCCCGCCAGCTAAACCAACTCTTATTCAAGTTGAAACATTTCTTGACTGGCACGTTTTCTTTGCAGTGGGATCTCTCCTGCCGCGACACCCGCGAGCTGGTGGGGCCCATCCACACACGGACCAACCACGTGACGCTCAAGTACGTCACGGACAACTGGGGCACGGAGCGCTGCGGATTCCACCTCATCATCACCGCCGTCAAGGACCCCCGTGAGTCTGGAGTCGGAGTCTCTGCCCCACTGGCGGCGCTATGGTTTATTCGCTCGGGGAGGAGGGGGGGGGCACCGCAGGGGTTGCGCGGGAACGGCGACGGCCGGCCCCAGAAATGAACAAATCAGCTGCCGAACGCGCGTTGAGCGCGCGGGCGTTCCAGCGGCGTTCCGAAAGGCGTTCCAGCGGCGTTCCGGGGCGCCGCGCGGTCCGACGCGTCGGATTGGCTGCCATTCCCGCTTATGGCCATCATCCGTCCAAATATGTGTTAGCAATCTCCACGCAGTCTTCACCCCCTCCCCTCCCTCCTTTTTCTGTGACCATGATAAATCCGGCCGACCCGCGCAGACAAACCAAACAGCCCGAAGTGCCTCGCCCCGCCCCGCCCCGCCCCGCCTCGCGGTGCCCACGTGCAGTGGTTGTGGCGGCCAGAGGCCCACGGCGGAGCGGACCTGCTGCGCTAAAATATGACGCCAATCTGTTGGCGCGAGAGTGCCGGCCGAGTGTGATGGTCCGGACTGGACTCGAGTCGATAGTCCTACTACTGCTGGACCCCCAACCCTCCCCCTTTTCCCTGGGATTCAGGGGTTCAGCTTCCCAGGGAGGACGCTTTTGCTCTGGCAAAGAATGGCTAAATAGTCGGGCAAGCGACGCCGGGCCCGCGCGACCAGCCGGGGCCCCGTGCCTGCTGGCAGCGTCCACGCGCGGGGCCACGATGTGTTGCCTACCTCGCACGGCGCGCTGGGCTGGTCGCCTGTCCTTCCCTTCCCTGCCGCTCCGCCCCCCTCCCCTCGTTACGCTGCCCCCATCGGAAACGTGTCGGGGGTGTCATCGGAGCCGGGGATGACGGCCTGTCCGACTCCAGCCCTCCAGCCGGCGGAGGGCGGAGGGGCAGTAGTTGTCCCTTCCGTCCCCTCGATGGCGAGCGGGCCGGCGCGGCGGACGCGGCGGACGCGAACCCCCGCTGAAAGATTCAGGCAGCGCGCACCGCGCCTCGCCTCCGTTCTGGAATTGGCCGTAAAAAAGGCCGTTGTTTGTGCCGTCGGCGCCGTCGGCCGGGAAGGCGCTCTGTTTTAGGTTTGAGGCGCCCGCGGTGACTGTGTGGTGCACTATATTGTCACGCAAGTTTGTCGTAAAGCGAGTCGTAAAAACACGCGCGTTGTGTTTTTTTGCTTTGCAGAAACGACGTGCAATGACTTCAAATGCAAGACCAGGGAGTTCTGCATCCACACGGACCTGGTGTGCGACGGCGTGAACCACTGCGCCGACGGCAGCGACGAGACCGCCAGCGAAAAGTGCGGCCGTGAGTATTCTTTTATTCTTTTTCCCTCCCCCTTTTCATTTTTAATCGTCCTCATTTATTCGCTGTCCGTGACTCTGTGTACTCGGCAGCCTCCTTTTGTAAACCGGCGGGCCGTTTGCGCACGCCGCGCGTGTTGACAGAATCTTTCCCGTCCAAAATAAATAATTTGCGAAATGTGTTATTGTTTTGCAGGCGGCGAGATGGGGCTGGTCATGGGCGTGTCCGTGACCCACCTCGTGGTGGCGTGCGTGTCGGCCCTGCTCATCCTGGGGCTGGCCGTCGTCGGCGTCGTGGTCTGCGTCTACCGACAGGGGCCATCCGCCCCCGCCGCGCCGCCCTGTGAGTGCCGACGAACAGCTTCAACCCACAAATTCGCGCTTCGGCTATATTTCTCAAGTTTGCTGGTGAGCATCAGTGCCACGGTTAATAACTGAACCACGTTTCTGTTTCAGTCCAAGCAGTGCACCACGGCGGGCTGAATGGCGCGGGGCACACGGGTGCCGGGCTGAACCACGGCCCCGGGACGACGACTCTGACGCGGGGGCCGCTGGGTCCCCCTTTGGGGCCGTCGCTGGGCAACCCGCCACATACCCTGTCGTTGATGCAGCCGGGAAACTGGTTATGCCCTGTGGGAACACAGCTCGGGTACAGCGGGGTGTGGGCCCGCCTCTACTGCTGCCTGGCAAAGTGAGGAGCGATGGCTCAGACAGGTGAGTCCCTGGTCCTTGGTTCGACTCCCGAGCACACCGCCCTTTTCAAACATTTACCGTCCCCTAATCGTTGCTACTCTCCTGATACGCGCGGTCGACGTTTTGACGTGCTCGAAACAGAGTAGCGTTGGCCGCGCTGGCCCGCGCTGCCCCGTCTCTGGGAACCACGGCGAACTTTGCCCATCCACGCGCCGTCCCGCCATCTCTACTTCATACACCAGCCTTCCGTTCCATTGCTTGCCTTGCCTCGCCGCATACATAACCCTGTAAAAACCAACCGCCGGTAATATGGTGCACTAAAAACACAACCCTGTTTTGCTTCCAGCGATATCTCCTCCAGCCAAAAAGACGAATGGTTTGTTTAGGTGAGTGTGCTTCAATTGCAATATTATTACCACGACTTAAGCCCTCTCAGCCCGTTCTGGCTTCTTTCTCGTTAAAGACGCATTCGTTTAAGCAAACTTTTTTTACTTCGTAGAATTCTTAATGAAAATAAAGTATCAGAAAACTGGGCAATTTACTTCGTATGATGATGGCGCTAATTATTTGTGTAACTACTCAGCAAAATTAGCAAAAGACCTCTCACGTGCTGTGTGAGAGGGTGGTGAGAGGCGCCGCCAAAGCACCTTAGGCTAAAGCTCTTGGAACTAACCCCGTTGCTTGCGTGTTGTTGCAGAGGCAGGCCCTGCCGAGTGTCTTGCAGGGTGAAGTCCGTGCCGGGGGTGGTACCCAACCCCAGCCGGCAGTGCAACTAGCTCGGGTAGTTGCAACCAACACCAAGGGGCGTTTTGAAGGCCAAGACGTCGAGGACATCCACCAAGTCGAGGACGTCGAGGACGTCGAGGCCGCGCCCCGGCCGCCTCCCTGCGCCCATCCAGGCAGAGAGTGCGGCGAGCGCCAACACGCTCAGAAAACATGAAAAATTGTGCACCTTCACGTGTCCGACATAGACAGACGCACATGTGTGAGGGAGAGAACAACGAAACGACAATACTTATACAGGGAGCTTCTGAAGAGACGGAGCGTACTGAGAAGCGAGAGCCCTAAATAGTACAATTTTAGATAATATGTATGGACGCGTTGTGTCTAGGCACGAACCAGTGCAGCACAAGGAAGAAGTTCTGTGAGAGAAAAAAAAAGGTTTAAAACAAGTTGAACGATTGCGTAATATTATGGATAGTTTATAGCTGTTTACCATTTTTTGTTACCATGCAGAAGTTTTAGTCATGTGTAAATATGAAGAAGCGCTTCAGGTGCGTGCAGATGTGAACAGACTCACCCAGTGTTCAACAAACTTTGCGTTCAAAACGCGTTCCTCTTTTTATTTACCATGATTGTTTTCTGGGGTACTGCGGATACCGAGTCATAATAAATCGACGCAGGCTGCGCCATTTTAAATTGAGTTAGGTTATGTAATGGCAGAGACGTAAACTTTCAGTGACTCTAAGGGTAGGTATCGTGACGTTGCCTGTCCTCTTCGGGATTTACTTCTGTTGATTCACCTACGGGAAAAATCCTTTTGAATTCAGTCTGGAACACTCGGTGAGTCTGTTCAAATATTACAAAAGAGAAGTGTTGGATACTGATTGATTATTTATCCGTACACACATAACGTGTGCCGTTTGAAAAACACAGATGGACCCCTCAATGGTTGCCTTGACTGTGTTCCTTGTGCTCAAAATGGCGCAGACACTGGTTGAGTAACAATTGCATAGTCCATCCTCGTGTGGCTTTTTAAATTTTAACTTTCGTCAGACCTCAAAAGGTATCGGCTTTGTGCTGGCATGGTCAGAATGTGATACAAAGCATGAGTGAAAACATATCCAGGTGTTGTTGGTGTTGGTGTTGTGTGGTCCACAACAATCGGGTAAAGGATTCTTGCCTAAAGACACGAGCACTTTTTGGCGATCTCGGAGTGTCGGGGGAACCAGACGCAAATATCAGCCGAGAAGTTAAAAAGCTCTCAGCATTTTTATTTGTTTTGCATATCATATTTATTCCTTGTAGTGCGTCAAAACCATTTTATAACAATATCATTGTAGCAACTCTCTGAATGGCAGTTGGTACTTCATTTTACGATTATCAATTATACCGTGTGATATTTTGTTCGGTCATTTATCAAATGTCGACTTTTATTTAAAATTTTAGCCATATCCGTTTTGAATTTGTTCAAAAGTAAATTACTCATATCATGCTTATTGGCAATTGTGATGACTCCTCTATGATTTCATATCCCCAGTCTTTGACAATTGTCACGACAGTCTGTAAAAAACACTTATATCATGCTGTAGTAGATCGTATATCAAGCTTTTATCCAATTTGGTGGTTTTACCAATGCAATCACGATACGCATTCAACGAGTGATTAAAAAATAACTTATCTGCGTGAATCAAGCTCTTCACCTCTTTGAACTGGGGTAATTTTTTAGCTCGGGAAGGGCTTTGAAACATTTAACGAGTATGAGTGGTGATGCAAATTGCACTGCACTATGTTGTGCCAAATCGGTCAAAATCGGGGAAATATGAGTTACGAACTATCCCGTTCTTGACCGTGTGTCCTGTCAAATCTACGTCACATTTTCTAAAAAAAAATGAAAAGAAAAAATTTTCACCGTAAAGCCCCTTTCGTAGACACTTGAAAGACAGTTACTTCGCAAATTGTACATTGCCTAACTTGTAGCTACTTGTGGTATTTGCTACGATTTTCTTTCAAAGGCCCGCGATCGGTCGTTCTTTTTTTGTTCGCTGCTTCACGAAAGGGGTCATTTCATATTTTTGTTTTTTGTTTCTTTTTAACCCTATTGAAAATCACGGACAAAGCGGCTTTCTTGTCCTGATCGAGTTTTTGGTGTAAACGTGACTTCAGTATGAATGACGACTAATTTTTCTGTTTTGAATGGCTGTGGATTTTTGCAGAAAACGAATAGGTTACACGGCATGAGGTGGATTATAACGCAAAGTCACATTAAAATTGCTCTTTGATCTTCTCTTTGGTCAATTAAAAGATTGAAAACGAACCTTCTGACAGTTTTCCAGCGACGAGGTTTAGCTTGGACTTCAAGCAGTTTCAATGTCTTAAGAACAATTTCATGACAATAGCTATTTCTACATTATCTATGGATTATACACGAAAGTGTCCTTATTTTTAATGGCTATTTATGCTCGTCTTTCTTTGTCCTCTGTGTGATTCTCTACATTTTCGATGTATTTGTCACTGCTAACATCTGTCAATAATTATGCAACTTGAAGCAGAACTCGGCGCCTTTCATAGAAAGTTTCGTTTAGCTTTAGCAGATCAGAAATAATAAATAATAACGGCTGAATAAAGAATGTGTTAGTCATTCTAAGATAAATTTTTCATCAGTGCATGGAATTTTGGTGCATTTTGCCTTTTATTCTCGCCGGACCATTACAGTCATCGAGTCTCTATTTCATTCATATTTGATATAAATATACCTGACAACGCTTCCGAAGCGGACGACTGATTGTGACAAATTAACAAAATTTAGTGCCTAATTTTGTACTTTGAGACTCATGTGCACAGCTTTTTAAACGTCTGAGCAGGTAGCTGACTGTTCAAAAATCAACCTGAAACATACAATGTTCCTGTTAAAGTGATTCCCACTCCATGCAGTTTTGTCGAAAGTAGGCCAGTAATCCACGTTCCAAAGCTTACGAACCGAACCATTTGAATCTTTAATGATACTTATAATGCACAATAATCACAATAAGACATCTGTCAATTAAATCATATTACAAATGGCTTTCATTTTCTTAATGCAGATTGGTGAGTTGTCTTTATGTTTTGAGTATTTAAGAGAGCGAAGCAGTGGATTTAGGACCTTGAAAGCGGCAGTTAGATTCTATTATGTAAGCAGCTGGATTTCCAATCCCCTGCCCTGTCTGTTCTTTCGTGTGAAGTACCTAATTAGTTTGTGGTAGCGATTGTTTTGTTGTGAAAAATATCTCTTTGGAAGCGTTTTCCCTCTAGCTTCTTGGAAGAAAATTGCTTCTGTTGTTTAAGAGATAAACCATAATGAATTTAGTTGCGTTATGATTGATTCGTGATGCGCCCTATCCCACTCCCCCACAGCAGCAGGCGATACCCCATGATGCGCAGACGCGGGGTAACGACGCTCCCGGCCTCGCGCGTGGGGTAACAGCAGTTGGAGCAGCCGCCGTTGCAGAGACATGTTTAGAAACAATCCAGGAGAGCGAGATAGAATCTTTCAGAGCAAAACTTTCAGCATTGTGCTTAGGAGCAAATGCGCTGCTGAGGACCCGCAGGGACTTTTCGCGCCATCTCCAGCAGCACAGGGAAGGCAGGCGGGAAGGAGGGCGCGGAGGGGCCTCGGGGTGGAGGGGGTAGTGCCGCTGCGGCGCGCCGTGCCGTGCGCCGTGCGGAGCGGACGGACCAACCAAACAACAAGAGAGTCCTGTGAGTCCTCCTCAGTCCTCCGCCGGCCGCCCCTCGCCGCGCATCGCCCCACGTGGCGTGTGTCCCGCGCCGTCTCGCAGACCGTCTCGCAGACCACGCTCCGCCGCGGCCGTCGAGCACCCACTCGTGACGTTCGGACCGTTGTTTCGGGTAGTGCTAGGCGACAAGCTTCGAGTCCGCGCGACGACGGCAGCCGAGCCGACCGAGACCCAGAGCGTGGCGGTTGGTGTCCGTCGACGGGATCGGGCGCGACCGCCCCCGCGCCGTCCTAACCTCCCCGTGCCACGCTCGCCGGCTGCGCCGGTTGTGCGAGACCGCGGCGGCCAGTGCACCGGCACCGCTAGTGAGTGCCCTTTGTGCCGTGTCGACGAGTGTGATGTGCTGTCAAGCCCGGAGTGGCCCGCTGACTTGCCCGCTGCGCCCGTAAAGGATTAACCAACGCCATGAGGATACCTTCATCATGACTGGCGCGACGCGGCGCCGGGGCCGCGGGCTCGACCTCGGCCACGCCGCGGCCCTGGTGGCCGTGCTGGCGGCGTGCTGTCTCGGCGGCGGCCTCGGCCACGGCGGCGGCAGCAGCAGCAACCGCCAGCCCTGGGACAGGGATGGCCTCGAGCCGGCAAGGACTGCGAGGACCGCCAGGGCCCGAGCGACAAGGCATAACGGTATTGGCAAACAAGGTAAGGAGCAAGTCCATCACTCGCCCGCCCCGCCCCGCCCCGCGCGCCACGCCGCGGGCAAGGCAGAATGTCACTGCACAGATGCGGCGTGCTGCGTGCGTGCGTGCGCGTCCACCAGTCCCCGCCACGACGGCGAGGACGACGACGACCAGGAGGAGAATGGATGTAGTCCTCCTGCACCTCCTTGCTCGTGTGCGCACGTGTGTATGCCTGTTTACCTTTTATTTTTTTGCTTCGCCAAATTTGTCGGCGGGCACTGCGCTTCAAATGCAGCAAATTGAAAGCCCGACGGTTATTCGCGGTGAATTCGCAGTCCGTCGGCCCTTATTTATGCCTCGCGATTAATCCTGTCGCTGTGGCGTCGCCGTGTCGGGGAGACTGGAATGCACGAATGCTCGCTGATTGACACGCCACGCCGGGCTTTTGTGGCTGTGTGACTGTTCGGGACCCTGGACAGGCCTGTCTTCGGGCTGTCTTTGGCTGCGGCCGATGACGCCACCTCTCGGGGGAAGGAGGAAGGACACGCCTGGCGGTCCCCCTCAAAGCAAAGGACCTCAGCACCTTCTGACACCTTAACGAAGATCTACGACCGGCCCTGCAGTGGCCCTGCCCTTTTTCTCGGTCCTTTGCGGTCCGAAGGGTCCGAAGCTGTCCGCCGTCTCTGTCGCTCCGGAGGCTGGCGTGCCGTGGCGGGCCGGCGTGCCGCGGCGGCTGCGTGCGAGGCGCCCCGCCGGACTCACTTGGGGAGCTCACCTGGCTGGGGGTGCCGCTGTCTCCCTCGCGCCGCCGGCCCAGCCCGGCCCGGCCAGCGGGTGCGATAGAGACGAGGATGTGTTTGCGCACGCTGCCCTACCCGCCCACCCCATCGAGGGCTCTCTTATTCTTTCGACCCTGCCAAAAATGGGGGTGGCGCTCTGGACCCTCCACTGTTTGGCTTGGAAGTCCGGAGCTATGGGAGGTTGCCAAAATTGTGGGTCCTTTTGTGTCTTTGGGCCACAGTTTCCTTATTTTTCGACGTATCGACCTGCGGTTTGATTCCTATGACTTAACTTCATCTCCCCTACTATCCCACACACTAACCGAGCATGCAGTTCAAGCATTTCCCTGTCAAAACAGGCTAAAACTGGGCAAAATGTAACTTCCGTGCTGTCCATTGTCCAAAAAGTCCGTGTTTCAAGGCGAAAATCTCCTGAACTATTTGTCGGAGAGCAAATCCGCGAACAGCCTTTTGTTCTGTTGGCAACCCTTTATGACATTCTTGGATAGCAATTTATTCCAGTGACTCTCACCTCCTGCTTTATTGGATGAAAAATGTCCACCGTGTACTGGTTTTCCAACATCGTCAACTTTAGTTTCGCGCCTCAGCGCCGAACCTGTAGCGGGAAAAGTTCGGCTCAACGTCCCGAATCAGCAGCACGGCTTCCTCTTTCCAGCGCGGTAGGCGGATTTTCGCTGGAGGGCTCCGTTCCGGCTAGCTTGACCACCAAAGGTAAAAATCCGGCATGTGTCAGGTTTATGTGTAACCTTCCGTGTCATCAATTGCGAGCTTGCTACTCGGCCTATCGATTTCGGTCCACCTGGCCATTTTGCGCTTTTACGTCTTTTAAACTTTAGGCGAGACACCTGTTCGATTTGGTGAACCGGTTGGTCCGTTTTCACGGTTTGTTTGATGATGTAACTTCCGTGCCATGCACATTTTCGGTAACTTCCGTGCCATTCCCCCATGTAAAGTATAGGGGAAAAATCAAAGTGCGAGAAAATACTGGCCTCCTTCGGAAATGCGTTTAGAATGACCCCTAGAATACAGGAAAAATGCTAAAAAAAATTTAGAACGAGATATTTTTTTTACTTTTTTAGGAGCCAAAAGGACCCACAATTTTGGCAACTTCCCCTATGCCGCCTTCCCGCTGGCAGGCTGGGTCTGCTGTGCAGCGCAGCTGTCTTGTTTTATTCAATCCTTTTTATTCTTTTGAATGTGGATTCTCCGGCTGAGGGTTGCAGGGGTTTTGGCGGGCATCGGGCGCCACGGTCTCGGCCTCGGCGGCCCCGAGGTGGTCACCGAGTGCATTCTTTGGATGCTGCATCGCTGCAGCCTCTCGGCCGGCCGGACCCCCTGGCATGCACCGCCACCACAGCCTCCACGGCCTCCACGGCCTCCACGGCCTGCACGGCCTCCACGGCCACCACGGCCTCCACGGCCTCCACGGCCTCCACGGCCTCCACGGCCTCCACGGCCTGCACGGCCACCACGGCCTCCACGGCCACCACGGCCACCACGGCCACCACGGCCTCCACGGCCTCCACGGCCTCCACGGCCTCCACGGCCTCCACAGCCTCCACGGCCTCCACAGCCTCCACGGCCTCCACGGCCTCCACGGCCACCACGGCCTCCACGGCCTCCACGGCCACCACGGACTCCACGGACTCCACGGCCTCCACGGCCTGCTGCTCTGATCTCGGCTCGGACGCGCGGGACGTGCTGCAGGGGGCGGGGCGGCCGGCCGGCCGGCGGGGCGGGCACTGGCCGGGCATGCCGAGGTGCCCCTGCCCTGTTCCCTGTTCCCGCCCATAAAAGACCTCAACGTGAAAACTAATAAAGTCCCTCTGGCGCATACATAAAGGGGGCCGTCCGTAAGTCGGCGCGCTTTCCCTCCCCGGGGAGTCGCCGTCGCCGCGGACGGGGGCCGCCGGCCACCAGCAGGGCGGCGCGCACTTTTGGCCGCGCCTGTACCGCGCCGAGTTTCCACAGACCGCGCGTCGTCCCTGTCACTCGCCGTCTGCAAAGCAACGCAGAGCAACGCACAGCAACGCACAGCACCAAAGCAACGCAACTGCGGCCTCCGCGCTGCGCAAGTACGACGGGAACACGGGGACGTTTTGACGCCTTGGCGCGCTTTGGCCTCCAGCGGCATCCTCCAGTGTGCAGAGCGTCCTGCCTGATTGTCATGTCAGTGCCACTACACCGGCTGGGCTGGAGACCTCCTGGAGGCCGCTGGAGGCTCGGAGGGTGCCAAAGCTCCCCTCCCCTCTCCCCCTCCCCGTGGGTGGGCAATCAGGAGGCCGATGACAACGGGGACAGCGGACAGGTGTATCGGGAGGAGGGGGAGGGGGGGAGGGCGAACCTGTCCGGGTACATCTCCGCACAAAAGCCGCGCGCCGTCCCGGGCATCACGACGGCCGGTCTCTCGTACGCCTCACAGCCAGATTTCGGCGGCCGCTCAGCCGCTCTACAAACACGCCTTAGAGCCCGCCGGCTTTGTGTGTCGCCGATTTCATTTCGGCTGAGTGTAATTCCGGCGTCGTGTATAGGCTGTATAGGTGTGTAGATGGCTCGGTCGCCGTGCGGCGTGGCGTGGCGTGGCGTGGCGTGGCGTGGCGGTGTTGCGGCGGCGGGTCCGCCATCCTCGGACGTGAGCCTCGCCGGCGCGCGGCGCACGGGGCACCGTGGGGCACCCAGCAGCAGCGGTCCGGTCTCCGCATGACCAGCGCCCCTTTTATGGATTGGCGCGACCGGGCCACTTTTTACGCGACATCTGGATAAAACAATAAAACACTTTTTGCTTTCCTCTCCCCTCCCCCTCCTCTCGCGGATGCAGAGGTGCGCAGCACACTGATTCCGAGAGTCGCGTTCGTCGCTCTGTCTCTCTCGCACTCCCGGGAGCGTCCCGTGCCGTGCGAGAGAGACGGAGCGACGGAAACGACTCTCGGAAACGGGCCGTTGCTTTCCCACGCTGCCGTTTGGCCGGCGATTGGACGCCAATTGGACAACGCCAAGTGCGCCGTGCAGAAGTGAGCCGAAGTGAGCCGAAGTGAGCCGAAGTGAGCCGAAGTGAGCCGAAGCCAAAGGGCGGCCAGGCTCGGTCGGCCCACCGGCCACCGATAGGTCAGGGGTCAGCGTCTGCCTGCAGCAGGGATGCTCTCCGAATTATTGCGAACACACACACACACACACACACACACACACACACACACACACACACACACACACGCCGGCGCCGAGGATTGGCGCGAAACGCCGGCGATGCGACGTCGTTGGCGATGCAGTGCGATGCAGTGTTTGCGTTACGACGTCATTGGCGGGCGTTACCGGGCGTTACTCTGCTTTACAGGCTTTTTGTGTCCGAGCGCGGCGGAGCGGTGGAGCGCGGCCGCGTCGTATAAGGTGCCCGGAACGGCCGAACGGCCCCATTGTGCGGACAATGTTGTTGTTTTTGTTGATGCTGCAGCGCGCGAGAGTGCCCCGATCGGGTTTGTTTTTGTTTCGTTCTCGTCTTTTTATCATATATTCATTTTTGTCGCGGCGCACGGGTACTACTTCTTTCGTTTCTTTTTCGAGACCTCTCGAGTACATGCATGCAAATACACAGACACAAGGCCACGAAGGGCGAAATCCATCTATCGCACGACGGAAACGCCCCGCCCCCCTTTTCTCTCAATAGCCACCGCCACTGCCGCTTGGCGGTGTATTTTGCAGTGAATGATACTGCTCGTGTGTTTTGGCTGGACCAAGGCGGCTGCACGCGAGCCCCTTGGACGCCGCGTGTCTGTGTGAATGCGCTGTGTGTGTGTGTGTGTGTGTGTGTGTGTGTGTGTGTGTGCGTGAGGGAGATGAGCGTGCACACTGCACCTTCGAGGCGTGATGGCGACTCACTTAACGCTGTAATGATGATGTTTCTGTGTGCGTGTGTGCGTGAGCGCCGAGGAGGCCTCTTCGCTTAGGACCGAAAGCAGTCCCAATCACAGAGGAAATAGGAGAGGCGATGAGGAGGAATGTGCGGGGAAAGGGAAGGGGGGGGGAGTGCAGTGGACGTCTGCTAATTCCTTTGCATGCCCGTAAAAACTTTTATGCCCCCGGAGTCCTGTGGGATGGGAAGAAAGACCCCACCCTCTGCCGCCTCCCTGTACGGCCTGTGCGGCCCGCGCGTCTGCTGCACCAGAAATTTGGTGAGCGGCTTGTGGGAGGGCGACGTCGATATTTATCGCAGGGGATTTATCACCTG